ATGTTTAACTAAAATATTTCTGTAATTTCAATGAAATTCGTGTAAAAATGTACAGACCCTATATTTTAGATTTCTTTTCTCTTATCACGCATTTAGAGAATAATTTTAACACTCGAGGGGTACTCAAAAACTTTGAGATATTCACGAAGGAGAACAGCTAAAAATGAAATAGTTACTGTATCTATATTTACTATAAGCCATTAACAGTTTATGCACGATGCTGTCATGCGCTAGAGTGATTTAGAAAACAATAAAAACATTAGTTTTGTCTGATGCTTCTTAAAATATGTTCAAAAGCCGCTATGGATTCAGTAGGTAATGAAAAAAAAATATTCTCAATTCAGATCAAGGAAATATGGCGAATATTGTAGAATCAGTGATATTTTTTGTTGTAGAATTCGACAGTTCTTGCAGACATGACTAAACAGACTTAATATCTCGAATGGCTCATAAACCATAACCTGGGACTAATCTCAATACCCATTTTTCAAGCATTTCCGGCAAAGAAACATCTGCTTATTATTCCGTTATAAGTAGTGTATATCTTTGTAATCCTTTATGAGAAGACGAGATACCCACTAGAAAAGCTGCGTTTTGAAACGAAAAGCAAGTATAAAGAATGGAGTTGAAAGTTGACAATATTTCTAATTTTTAGCTTCCCTTCTGTAGGTTAGAGATATGGCAATTTTCAGTCTGAGACTTCCTACGGCAAAAAACATTTTTTTGTTGTGATTGTAGTGCATGGATTCTCTTCGCGTGTATTAGTAGTGCATGGATTCTCTTCGCGTGTACCCCAAAATTATTTATCATTTTAAAACAAATGCATTACCTAATTACTATGGCACAGAGGATTTAACTCCCAAATATGTTGTTAAATGTTTAGGGCGGCGTTTCTCAATCTGTGGGTCCTCTTGACTTGTGTCGAATGGAAAGAGAGCGACAGCGCGCTTTTACTCTGCATCAGATAAAAGAATGTCTGGAACAACAAAAGGATGATAAGAAGAATCGAGATGGTAGAATGGGATATTTCACTTAGCCGCCATCAGTCGGCGAAATAAAACCCTTCGTGAAATAAAACCCCTCTAGGAAAAGGTGAGCATCGCAAAGAACTGATACAGGCTGTTTGGATGTAATAGTACAGAAAGGAAAAAAATTGTTGCAAGTTTTTTGATATAATTTTATATAGTATCAATTTGAAGATCTCTGTGAATATATGAATTTGGGATGAACCAGGGTGCATTAATAATTTCATGAAAGGTTTTATTTTGAAAGACTTGGATCTTTTTTATGTGGGTTTTAGCGGCGTGTCCCCATACCGGATTGGCGTAAAGTAAAGTAGGTCTAAGGATGGACTTATATAAAATAAGTTTATTATTGATAGTCAGATTGCTATGTCTGCCGAGGAGAGTACGCATAGTAGTTACTGAGATATTGAATTTCCTGACAGTTTCGTGTAAATGTTGCTGAAAAGGGAGTTTTTGGTAAATCTTCGGATTATGGTAACTTGGCGATTTTTGTTTTTTTTTTTTTTTTTTTTTTGTTTTTGATTTTTTTTTTTTTTTTTTTTTTTTTTGTTTTTTTTTGGCGACCAACCCTGCTACAGCAACCTGCTAGTTTTTTTTTGGACGCCATTTTGTTTTCCCGAAGTAAAAGATTTTTTTTTTTTTTTTTTTTTTTTTTTTTTTTTTTTTTTTTTTTTTTTTTTTTTTTTTTTTTTTTTTTTTTTTTTTTTTTTTTTTTTTTTTTTTTTTTTTTTTTTTTTTTTTTTTTTTTTTTTTTTTTTTTTTTTACAACGTTTTTTTCCAACAATCTGCTAGCCGAATTACGCTTATGATCGAACTTCTATGGAACAAAAAGTGCTTAATTAGACGAAAATTTCGAAATTGGGAGAAAGTGCAGAATCATCGCCCACTGCTTCGCGCGTTTTAAGAATTGCACAACACGGTATCTACGTCGACATATTTCACTTAAAAATGTATGTACACGTCGGCATATCCATGCACACGTCGACATATTTTCACTTAAAAAAATCCCAGAATTGCACAAAAAATGGCATTGCGTACACTTGACTTTTTATTCATGTACACATCGACCTATTTTCAATTAAAAGTCAAGAAAAATTGACCCACAATCCAATTCTTCTTACTCTTGTAAAAAGAGACAACAATAAGTGGGCGATTCTGCACTTTAGCAGCGAAATTGTTTTCTATTACTAAAATCACGATTGCAATTTCCGGAAAAATGTTACATTACATGTCTCATGATCTCTCTCATTTCTCTGAGACAAAATAATCTTGTGATCGAACCTGCGTACTTCTTCAGATTATTGCTGAAGTCCTGGCTAGTAACCTTTATTGCCTTACCAAAATGTCGCCAAACTACCTGTTACCACATTCCAAAGATTAGCCGAGTTTTTTGTTAAGTGTGACTCCGAGATACTTCACTTGATCCGTCCACTGTATATTGTCGTCAAAGAAGATGGGATTAGGCGGAAGCAAGTTTGTTTGTCCTTTTCTGAAAATAATGGCTTTGTTTTTGTCAGTGTTAACGGCAATTCTCCACAGCGTCATCCAGTTTTCAAGGAGCTCCAAAAAATTTTGTAGAAAATTTTGTACAGTATTGATGGTTGAAGCTTGAGTTAGGATAGCGGTATAGTCAGCAAATAAGACGATAGTAATATGAGATTCTTTGGGAATATCTTGAGTATAAATATTTGTATAGAAAAGGAGAGGGAAAGGAGCCTTGAGGGACACCTGCAGTAATATTTCTCGCAGTTCAGAGGGTGTTTCCAATTTTGACAACAAAAGTGCGATTTTTGAGGTAAGAGGCAATAAGTAAAATAAAGTGGTTCGGAAAATTGAGCTGAATTAGTTTGAATATAAGTCCTTGGTGCCACACTCTGTCAAAGGCTTTGGCAATATCTAAGAAAATTGCGCCGGTAGGAAATTTGCAATGGAATCTATCAGTAATGTAATTGATAACACGGAGAAGCTGATGATTGGTGCTGTGCAGATGTCTGAATCCAAATTGTTCACCAGGAATATAAGAGCTAGGAGGTATGATTCGATTAATATAAAACAGAATAAATTTTTCAGCAATTTTAGAAATTTGACTAAGTAAACTGATAGGCCATAATTTTGAGGAAAAGTAGAACTTTGATGAGGCTTAGGGAAGACAACAACAACTGCATGTTTCCATACTTTTGGGAAGTAAGAGAGCTTGATAACTGAGTTAATTATTTTAGTTAAGCACGTAATAGCATTAACTGGAAGATGCTTGAGTGCTTTGGAAGAAATGCCATCACAACCAGCAGCTTTTTTAGTTTTTAAAGAGCTAATAAAATCCGCAACAATCCTCGGAGAAGCGAGAAAGGTGAAGTTAAGTGGTCCAGGGCTATTAAGGAAAAAAGATACTGTGACTTTGGTGATATGATCATTATCACATGGGGAAGCATTGGAATTAAAGATATCTTCATAGGACTGCTCTTGTGGTCCTCCTAAATTTAGAAAAAGGTTCTGCTATTTGTAAACGAAATTAACTAAAAAAAATTTACATAATTTGTTACTGATTATATGTGACTAAGTACTATATTGGCATACCTTCCAGATATATTCTCAAAACTAAGGTAGTTAAATTTCTTTCTATAAGGTAATCCTCTGACTGTTCTCAGCGCTCACGAGAAATAAAACTACCGAAAATTCAAGTGTTTCTATTCTTTTTAAGCCGACCGACTAAAGTCAGACTTCATTAAATTGGTGTCACAAGCTCAGCACCAGGGAAGCCGTTGATATCGAAAAGGAAAATACAATTCATTCAATTATGTTTATTTTTGCAATAATAGTAATGATAATTATTACTTTTATGTTTAAAGTTTAAAGCGTGCTGTAATTTTTCTTTCAATAACATTTATTTTATTATTCACCAAGAAAGAATCTTCTAAAATGAAAATACCACTGACTCGAACCGTCTTTTTAATACACACATTTTAGCTGATTTTGACCAGCAGAAGAAAAGGTTGCTGACATCTGCCTTTGGCTCATGCACAGTTATCACTGGAAACAAATATTTTATTTGCGGTACAAGTGACAACAGCTGTATCTTTGGATTCCAGATATTCGCTGGATTAATTTCAAATATTTTATTCTTTATAATGAATGTTAATAGTTGAAAATGAAACGAAGAAAAGGGAAATATATTAAACTGAATTAAAATATACGAATGTGGAAAATATTGGAATTTAGTGAGTCAACGATAGCACAATTTTGCTTAGAACGGAAGATTATCAAGATAAAATTGCACTAATAGTTAACATTTTAGTTTAGATTTTTCTCTCATTTTCAACTCAACGCATTCCAGAAAAACAAAAGTTTAGTTAAAATTTACCGCATCGCAGTGCACTTTAAGGTAATAATCAGCAGTTGGCAGTTAATTTGAAGTTATGCGGAGAAAGTTCTGTAAGAAAATAAGTAGGAAAAAATAAAATAAAATAAATAAAGATCTCTAGAAGACATGAAAAATAAGTAGAGTACAAATAGAAAGCTTACTTTAGTTTTGACGCAGGTTAATAGTTATGGAAAATATCTCAGACAATTGTTTTTCTTCAAATTCTTTAATTTACAGTTTTAGTCTCCAAAAATTATATTCAACTGAAACAAAATCTATAAAAAAACTAAGTGTCTGATTTAATGTAAAGGGAAACTCATATCTTCTCAGAATAAGAGGAACTGAAAGAGGACAACAATGGTTTGCAGAAATTCCGAAGTTTTAAGATCTGTCAACTATGAATCGACAGATCAAGTTAATTTCGTGGTTAAAGCGAAAGGCTAGTTCAGAAATAAAATATGCCTTTTCTTTTTAATATTAAATTTCCTTAACTTTGTTTCACTTGTCCTAGTTTAAGTATCAGTATCATTTGAAAACTAAATTTACCTGGATACAAAAGTAGATGTGATGGAATGGTAATCTTTTATAAATCTATGTAAAATATATCAAACACATACTCGAAAAATTCTAGGGCAGGACTGGTCCGATTGTTTGGTACAACAGTGGAATTTCCCAGGGACGATATGTTAGTGGAACCGTTAAGTCCTCCCCAACAACGTTCGGTATTCCATTCATTGCCACATCTTATCCAGGGCAGCTCTGACGTCATGGAAGAAACCATGAAATAAATTGTCCATCCAATGATCACGTTGTAGTAGAAGGAAACATACCACGAGATCAGAACAGCGCAGAAACCCACGCCTGCAAACAGAAGAATAAAATGCATCATTATTATATTAGCAATAAAAAACAAAACAAAACTGAACTTAAAACTGAAAAGTGCGACAGGTTACAGGTTGAGGTATAGGGAACACTCGTTAGTCACCAAGGGTCAGCAAGTCACGTTATCATGGGTAACCATGGGTCATGTCCCCACATGCTAGAATAAAAAATTTGATGTGTACACCACACGACTTCCTTGTACGGAATATTAAATTATACGCATTTTTTCTTGCATTTCATTTAAACTCATTGGATTGAATTAAATCTACTTTGTCGATAGCGCATAAACCACAATAGAATAAATGCACTCTTTAAAATTCACTATATTTGTTAACCATAGTGACACTCTGGCGCTAGGTCACTTAACAGCGTTAACATTTCGTTCATTTTATTAACTCAGTAATGCACACAAATTTATATCATATTGAAGAAATTATCCTAATCGTTGCCCACATGTTCTATTCAAATACTTATAATAAATCTAGAACACTGTATAAAAGAAATTAAGCAAACAAAACAAAAAAGAAACAGTTTTCACAGACGATTTAGTATTTCTCATTCAAGTAATTCAATTCTCACTTTGCGACAATTCAAAAATACATAATAACTCAAAATATCTGTATTAAAAATTACGACGTAAATCTTAAACACTTATTTTCTCCAAAACATTCCAGAAAGGTTTAAGCATGATTTAATTCTCAATAATAAATGAAAGCGTTATCTTTGTTGTTGCGAAGCTCTCTAGATTGGCAAGAAATTTACTATTCTGCTGTTTCAAATGTAAACAAACATGTCCGCCATGTTATTTAAAAATTAGGCTTAACCGCACTTAAATGGCTTTTAAATTGCTGATAATTGTACAAATATCGCTTTACCCGTTAAGGTATAAAAACCTTAACCGGAAGATAAGAACAACTTAATTCAATCATTTTTAAAGCAAAAAATGCACAATTTACAAACATATAAAAGTAAAGAAACTGAGATCACTGAGCCGAGTAACAGAGTGGATATATACATATATATATATATAGATATATTTATTTATATACTTTTGGTGCGGCAGATTCCAACCAGAATACGAGGTGCACATCTACATGTTATAGCAGTCCTACATACAAAATTTCAAAGTTTTGAGTTTACTCGTTTTTGAGTTATGTGAGATATGTACGTATGTACATACGCACAGTTGCCATGAATAATTCTCTTAAGGATTCATTTAAAAACTTTTTTTTGGAAAAGACTCCTTTATTCTGTTCTTACGTGCAGATGTCAATCAAAAACATCCGTTAAATTGTATTCGATAGCCCTCAAAATAGATACTTTCGTTGAAATATGATGCCTGAAACTTTTTCTGATTACAATACTTCCTTTTTACTTCGTAAAAGGAAGTAAAAAAAAAGTGTCCTTATTTTATTGAAATTTGAAACCAAAAATTTTGATAATGTTAAGAAACGGAGTTTAATTGTTGCAAAATTATTTCGTTAAAAATTATAATTGCGAAGTCTTAAATCTTCCTATTATGCCCACATCCTTCTATATGATAAATGGGAAATCCTATAGCAGTCCTACATCTACGCTAAATTTTTCACTTATTAACGATAGAAAAGACATTTTAAAAATAAATCTTTGGATTCCGCTTTCGAGGTTCACTATGGGCCACGTACCTACATACTAGCAATCTAACACAAAAGACAACCCCACTGAAACACACGCCGTCACCTAGGGCGGTAGGCAAAGTCATCCCACATGGTCTAGTAAGACCGAAGGACCATCTCCTCTATGTCACATTTAGCAACGCAACCTTCAGTTGGAATGCAAGGTAATCACTTACTTTATAGTATTTCCTACATTTGGTATAGGTTACACAATTTGGTGCGTTCGTTTACATAAAATATTCACCCCCCCCCAAATTTGACTTCTTGTTAAAAATTGTTGCTTAGTCTGGACGTTATTTGATCATATTCACTTGCATGAGGACTGCATAATATGCACTTGAAGTTAATCTCATAAATTACATTCAAAATATGAATCATATTTAAATAAAAAACCGAGAACATAAAACAGCCCTAACAAAACACAGGTAATAATTCTTATAACAATTCTAATAATCATAATAAGTGCATAGTTATTTCTAACAATTATACTGCATCGTAATTCCATAATAACGACATATTCACATACCGGTTTTTGTTATATATTCAAGCTAAGTAATCTTATGCAATATAAACTAAACAAATCATAAGAATCTCATGCAAAATATTACAAATGATACTGAACACAAATAAATAAAATGACAGTTGAAACTACATCAGGAATCCAGATGAACAAGTATATAAAAAAATTCTTATTGTTACGGATCGAATGAAACACTTCAAAGTTCTGAAATTTTCACAGAAATACTCGTACAGGTGTTCACAGTATCGCAGAGTACAATCAATTCTTAGTACTTCAAACTATTAAGAACATTAAACACAACGCAATGCAAAGCGTGCCTAAAGAGAAAGCTAACCCAGAGATATCTCAGTTCACACTGAACTAACAATAACTGAGAGCAGATGCTTTCTCTGGTCTTATGTAGTTTTCAAGCGGCCGCCGAGATATTTCTAGTACTTTCTGCTTCTCGAAATTTCTGGAAAGCAATATTACGGTTGCAGCTAATATAGTGATCAATTACATTTATTAATTACTGTGATATAACGGACTGGACCAAAATGCCGCCAAATTGTCGCCAAGTTTGGCGGCTTTTGATGCTTTCTATCCAAATTAACGAGATACCCATTCACTCAATGTTAAATGGATTTGCCCCTGTATTCTTACTTTTCCTGCATAGCTTATCTCTTTAAATTTTTAATGTTACATTACGCAGCAAAATACAATAATTTAACATATGATTGCCCTAACATCTATGTGCAAAGTTCGTAACAGTATGATCTTAACTATTTGAATTTGTTCATTTATATAATTTTGTATAATAAATAATACGAGATAGTTTTACAATCATAAATAACGATTATTGAAACAATTCTAATAAGAACAGCCCACCAGCGGCCGAGCGGTAAAGACGCTGAACACTGGTAGTTCGGTCTGAGGTTCGAATCCCGCGAACGGGCTGGCTGCATGGGCGTTTTCGTGGTTTTCCCCATGTGTAACGTGTATACGAGCCAGTTTCCCTTAGAAAGTCCTCCACGAAAGGCATCCCTCCCTTTAGGCAGATAGCCCTCGTGTGCTTTGCCATAATTAAATACACCAACACACTAATAAGAACAAATTATTAATATTCAAATACTTCCAATAGTTACATATAATTATATCGTAATTTCATTCAGTTGAATATTTGATGCAGTTTAGTATAGTTGCTGGATATTGCTGAAACTAAAAGATGAATTGCGTTTAGTTAGTGCGATAGGAATACAAAATCAGTCACCATATTTATGATTAATTTTAGTTCGAGAAAGCTCTTCAAGTGAAAAATGAAAGAGCAGAATCAGCAAGCAAATTCAGCGGGGATTCAGAAAAACAGAACGATTTAGAAGGGGAATGATATGGATAATAAATTCGAATTATCGAAATAATTTTAATTAGTGACATGGATTGCAAAAGGCATCATAACACAACTGAAATACATTACAAGCAAGTTGCGATTATGAACAATGTAAATGAAAAAAAAAAGAATATATAGAATAGAAGTATAACTTTAATTGCATATCAAAATAATGTATCTTTATATATTTATCAAAGTTGCTTTTAAAGACTAACTTTTGTCTCTTAGAACATACTTGACTGAAATTAAAACTTTATATGAATGATGTTAATAAGTACTCACCCATTTGCATCAAGGCTGTATGGCAAGTTATAAGCGACAAGAAATGACAAAAATATGCAAAGCATGTTAGCAAATATTTTCTTTACAAAAGCAATTACTAAGTGTTATCATCTTCAAAATATCAGACTACTTTGGGGGTTTTAATCATTCCATTGCTAGAGTCTACAATTATTGTCTAAAGAACATGTAGGTTTTTCTTCCAGCTTTTTTCTAAGTATGCATAATGACGACATGTTCATATACCAATTTTTGATATGCACTCAATCTAAGTAATCTTACTTGAATTATGTGTCGAATGTATATTTTTAAGTATAACACGATTCTTTACTGTTACTGTGTGTTATTTAACAGCATACTATCTTTCCAAAAGTATTCACTTAACGAGATGAACTTAATTAAAATATTACATACCTAAAAGATCTAAGTTAGCTCTTTGTTCTTTTCCTACACTCGTCCGGATTTGACGTCATTATCTTATAAGGTATTTCTCTCGCCTTAATAGCATGCCTTCGTGGTGTAGTTGTTCTGCACGCTGTGCCGGTATTCCAGAGGTCCGTGGTTCGATTCCCGGCATAGGCGTAGCTAACTTTTCATCTTGTCTGCTTTCAAAAAATGCTTAAAGTCTCTACAGTGGCGTCCGAACTAAAAAGGTTGTGGATGATGACTTTCCACTCCGAGGATTTGGCGATTGGTCCCCTAAAAACCCCAGTCACACTTTAAAAGGGGGAGCATATAAGGCATTTCTCCCACCTTCATAGCGTGCCTTCGTGGTGTAGTGGTTCTGCACGCTGGGCCGGTATTCCAGAGGTCCGTGGTTCGATTCCCAGCGAAGTTGTAAATGAAATGTTGCTCTTGTTGCTCTAAATGTTGCTCTTAGATATAAACTATCCCATTTCTTAGGAAGTCAGCATCCTCTCCTGCATTTTTTGTTATTGATACACATGAAGTACAATAGCGGTGCAATGAATAAATGAAGATTTTTGGATATTGTCCAGGACTGACCCGATTCAAATCCCTTCTAAACAGTCAGCTGCTGAGGTCAAGATAATGTTGTTTAGAAATTGAATGTAAAGCTGTGATTTATAAGTAGAGTGAACTGCAAGCTGAGAAGTTGTTTACCGGCAAAATACTATGCTCGAAAACTTTAAATGCGAAA